TAGGTGTACTGTGATTTTTTCGAAAACCAGATTGGTGTTCAGACAGGATGTTATTATCAGAGACATTAGAGTATATCTGACTATAGGCTGCCTTTGCTAAACATTTTTGAATTGCCGGTACTATATTAATGGGTCTCAAATCGTTTGGTGTCAAAGGTTTGGAAATCTTGTTTATACAAAAAATAATAGATTGTTTCCATAGTTCCGGGAAGATACTAGTTTTTACGCATTTGTTGACTAAATATGTTAGAACTGGAGTTAGGTAAGGGATACAGATTTTGATCATTTTGATAGATATCTTATCGGATCCGGTAGCATTCGTTTTTATGGAGTTGGCTATCATTTTAGTACCATCCATATTGATTTGATGGAATTTCAAACTCAAATTTTCTTGAAGTCAGAAGTTAAGAAGAGTATCCGGAGGTTCAGTCGCAATCTGACTGACCGAAATAATAAAGTGATTGTTTATTTCATTTGGATTAGGAAGATGTTCAGGAATATCTTTCCTGTCTTTACGATTGACTATGTCAAATAAGTGTAATGTGTCCCATGGATGTTTGGCATTTTGTTGATTTTTACTGAAATTCAAGTAGGCTTTTTTTCATTTCCGTATAGCAGCTGTCACCATGTTTCTCAAACCCTTATAGGCGTTCCAATTATCATTCGATTTGTACCGCTTGTATTTCGTGAAAGCTGAATCTTTTGTCTTAATCATGGTCTTCAAAACGTCAGTCAACCAGTTGAAAGTTTTTACAATTCCATCTACAATTTCTAAAAGATATATATCATGCTAAGGCATTTCCATAAGATCATTTAAAGAGATATAATAGTTGAAATTTTATAATTTCTGAAAGTACGATAAATATGTTTCATTTTCACTGATTGAAAAGTTAACTCACGAAATACTAAACTATGATCGGAAATTATATCTTCATTTATTGTCTGTACGTTTAAAATATTTTCCGTATTGGATACAGCAATAATATCATCACACGAACATGAATTTGTTACTCTAGTGGGTTCATCATAAGGATATTGCTTCAAAAAGAAAAGAACAGACAGCCTCAAGAAGAAAAATCATCTAGTGTTATAACAATGATTTCATTAAATTTGTATAGGGCACCCCCGAGATCAGAACTCATTGAAAATGGCGCTAACGGATGATTCACAAAGTGAAAAGTATATGTGAATCAAATAAAATTCACATGGATGTATTCTAGATCTGTTTATCATGGCAACAACCACAGTTCTAACTGATCTGGTAAATGCCTGCCGGAAAACAACTACTTTCCTAGTCAGTACCACGCTGGATATTGATTTATTTACGACAGACATTCATGCAAGATACCTCAACGAGGTTAGTCCCGCAGGAGCAGGACCATGCGGAAATTATTCGAGTGGACCACCTAGTGACCAGTTTCGAGGTTTTACCTCTCATCAGTGCAGGAATGATCCTACTCAAACAGCAAAGCGATTGGGACTAGATTGATTTCAACGCAGCTCAACTGCATGTATGAAACCTTGTCCAAGATAAAGATTGTTAACTGGTAACAGCTCGTGAAGAAAGCCCCCCAAACAAAGCCTACCGAAGAGCAAAGACCACTTGAATAATTTCGGCATGGTCCTGCTGCTGGATGAACGCGAAACATCTGCGGGACTAACCTCTGTGAGGTATCGTGCATAAATGTCTGTCGAATATAATTCATTTTCCAGCATGGTATTAGCCAGGAAAGTAGTTGTTTTTCGACAGACGTTTACCACACCCTACTGTGTAGGTAGTGGAGATAGATGAATATTTAGAGATTTTATTTCGAAATATTTATTTTCTGAAACACTTCATTATCGATGATAGTTAAGAGACCTGACACAATAATCCTGCTTTTGGAAACTAATCATAACTGAACATATCTTGCTATTTTGTGAAACTTTCATAGTGATAATATCACAGTAAACTATCTCTATCTGTAGAATATGGAGGGTGAGTGTAGGCCTACATCACTTTGGCCACATGTGACTCATTGTACATCCTCCCGAGAGGTTGTCCTCCTAGGTCATCGTCCATCCTGTCCTTTCCAGGAAGGTGAAAAGGTCACTAGAAGACATCTCCTTTATATCGGCAGGTGTAGGCCAAGACTCGCCGAACACACACTCTCTCACTGACGATAACTCCGGATACTCGCATAAGACATGCCTGACATATCCATCTTCCTGTTCACACATCCTGCATAAATGTGTGTCCACAAGCCCTATATTATGGAGGTGTTCCTTAGTTAACAGTGGCCAGACAGGAATCCTACTGTAGGTTTTTCCTAGTCATTGCCAGATATTTCTCCGGCGCCAGCTTCCCAGGGTCGCCCAGGGTGATCTTGGCAAGACTGCATCCTTTCATTCCATCCCATCTCTTTAGAGATTGAACATGGTTGTGGAAGTGGCTAGTTCCGCAATTGTCGAAGTCATCAGGCCGTAAGTGTCACTGGGTCCGTTTCCTTGGCTAAAGAGTCGGCTATACGATTACCTTTACTCCTGTCGTGCCCTTCAATCCACTTTAGGATAATGTTATTATCTACCTTGGTGGAACTCTAGTACTGGCCCTGAGGTAACACGTTCAAAGTTAATGGGGCTTGTCTACCATCAGTGCAGATTGTTATGTTTTTGCGAGGAAGTCCTTTCCTGGCTATTTTTTTCGTGGCGATTGAGATACCAGCCAGTTCTTTTTGGATCACGCTGGTATTTTTTTTCATTCCCTACTTAATCCTTAGGCTCAGTGATCTGGAGTAAACTCGATATCCTGAGCTTTCTTTAGTTTTGGAGCCGTCTCGCCATAGGCTCAACCTCAATTGACCCATTCTTACTTCAAGGTTTACACCAGCCGTGCGAAATCGTAACATGGTCAGTAACCTCCCTAACATACAGGACCAAAGGGATCAGACCAGTAATTAATTCCATTTCCGCGGTTGGTGTTGTTCTCATGGCTGCTGTGATGTTTAAATAAGCCAATCGCTATTTTATAAAGATTTGACATGGACTTTTATCAAATATTGGTCAGTATTATTAGACCAAAAAATTATTACTCATCACAAAGTGGATGACTGTATCCAATTTCGTTTGAAATGAAAGCGAAATGGAGTAAACTCCACATCCTGAGCCTTCTTTGGTTTTTGAGCCGTCTGTATATATACGTATTGCATTTATAGCATTTGACTCTGTGTTCTGTTTTATTTGTATTCTGTAGGGTTTATTAAACACAAACCTGGTTTCAACTGCATCACTGGTTGACTGCAGCAGAGGTTGCGCAGTAAGCGCTTCTCGCCATAGGCTCAGCCTCAATTGACCCATTCACACTTCAAGGTTTACACCAGCTGTGCGCAATCGTAACGTGGTCATTAACGCAGCCTCCTTAACGTACAGGTCCAAAGGGGTCAGACCAGTAATTAATTCCGTTGCCGCGGTTGGTGTTGTTCTCATGGCTCCTGTGATGTTCAAAGAAGCCAATCGCTATATTATTAAGATTTAACATGGACTTTTATCAAATATTGGTCAGTATCATCAGACCAAAAAATTATTACTCATCATTAAGTGGATGACTGTATTTAAGTTCGTTAGAAATGAAAGCGAAACTATGAAACGACGATAATAATTCAAAAATGAATATGCCTTGTCAAATTTATCACTTTCAAACGAATGACCTGAATAGATAAGACTGACCCATATGTATATTTTGAAACTGAATATAAATATCCATCGTTGATATACTTTCAGAAGTCTAATTGGGAAATTGATAATAATTTGCTTTCCTCAAATGTTTCGTTTCCAACCAACAGTCCTTTCAGCTACACTCAATGAAAAAATATACAACATAATTCTTAAATTCATAATTGAATCTAAAATATCAATATAAAAAGTAGTAACTCGATTTATTCCAAAATTTCTGTGGCAAAATAAACTTCGGTTTGATGCCAGGGGGGGTTGAAAAAAAAAGTATTTCACTGTAAGAATGATGGAAAGCTGAATCTCATGACGGTCTTCCCATCATTATTCCTGGAAAGAACGTCAAATGAGAGTCATTTTCTACAATTCGGAAGATCATTTATTTTCATAATCATTCATCGGTAACTAAATTAACAGCTTTCTGTGACTCTACGACGTCTAATTACAACTTCATACAATAGACATCGTCATGAGGTTTTCGTAGAATATAGGTGACAAAGTAGTTTCACGTTCCGTTTTGGCTAACGGAAAAACCTAATGACTATCACTATCTATCGAATTACAAGCGTGTAGATTATGGAGATATATTCACAATATTGTTCGCGCGAGTTATTTTTTTAATGCGGAAAAGTGTTATCATATCTATAAAAAGTTTGGCTGAGTTCTGTTTGCAAACTGAGTTCATTAATCCTCTGGATCTCTGTATACAGTTGAGAGATTGTTAATCCTGATTGTTCTGGCAATTTTCATTAACTTTCAATTTCATTGGAAAGCTTATCAAACTTTTTTTGACGACCTGGAAAAGGGGTTGCAGTACTTGATTTTATGAACTTCCTAAACTCTAGATTATAGTACAGGAAAAATGCTAATTTTTGTATTAAAAAGTGCCGGTATCCATATAATAGTAATAACAATAATAATGGTGTTTATTGGGTGAAATAGGATATAACAACCAAAAGGCGAAGTTCAAAACTGCAGTGTGGAACACTTCAGGTTTGTTCTACCACTGAACCTTTACAGCCAGCTACGAGAACTGGCAACAAAAATATAAAAAATACAAAAAACAATTGGAAAAGAAAAACATTATAAACCTGATATCCAACAGCATTCGAATAACAACAAAAAAAATATATACATATGGACAAATTATCGGGTAGTCAAGTTTGTTTACCTGACAATTCAAATTTCAATTTTTGTTTAAAATTGCCTATTTAAAATGTTTTGAATGGAGGAGGGGGAGTTTATTGCATATCTGATACGTAAATGATGGCGAGTATGTGAGTATGTGTCAGTCCGAAATGTAATTTTATTATATAGATAAGTGGGAATTATATTGCAGATAACTTTATGATAGACACACGTAGAGTGTATCGATATAAGGTTTTCTAAATTGAGCCAACAAGTTTCTTACAGCTTTGATGAGATTCTGTTCCTTCTAAGTACCCCATGAACATTTTCTTGTTTCTAATTGTGAGGCTTTGACCATAGACTACATCTGCATAGTTCCAAGATTAAAGAACGAGACTGTTACATGGAGTAATTCTTGTGTTTTTAGGAAGAAATATTTGATTTCCTTCAATCAGCTTGAGTGAGAGGTAAGCTTTCTGGATTAGTTTATTCACATGGGAATCAAATCGGAGATCACTGTTTATAGTCAACCCATTCCATATAGTCACAATTTCCAATTCATTAGAGCCTATACTAATATTGAGTTGTTATTTTACAATGTGATTTTGAGCACATATTTTGAGCAAGGGATGAGAATATGACGAGATCATGACTCATCCGTCTATTAGCGTCATGTACCCCGTGTGGTTAAAAAAATTAAGGATTTGGTTGTCATCGGCTTAGAAATATTCACTGCAATACTTGAGGCATTTCACTAACTGACTGGTGTATATCGTAAATAGGAGGGGCCAAGAATTGATCCCTGAGGAACGCCCGTCTTTAAATTCAAAGGTGTGGAATGTACTCCATCAAGAACAACTTCTGACAAGCTAATGTAGTGTAGGATCGATAATAACAGCTCATGATTGATGGTGTCAAATACAGTGCTGAAATCTAGAATGAGTTCTGAAGGTTGATCGAAAATAGTTGTAGAAAATGTTATGCATTTTGTTTTAGGTAGGTTTAAGCTCAATAAATTGTTTTCAACCGCAGTCACACCTTTTCCAAATCACTTTCTGCAAAACTTTTGACTGTATTCCAACAAGAAGAAAATGTGTCTCTGAAAAAATAAAGAGTACAAAAAAAACTGCTTCAACAGATCGGGAACATCAGAATAAAATAAAACTGTGCAGCAGCAAGAGAATGGAACCGTCTAATTGGGTTTGTTGAACCAGCTCATCAGAAAGCGGTATGTATTAACATGAAGTGTAATTTCTAGCTGTAGGATGTATGTTGGAAAGATGTTCAACTTGATGTCCAAAACGTAAACACATATACTGTTTTCATCAGCGCACTTACATTACAAGATTTTCAGAGAAGACTCACACTCACTTCACAAAAAGAAAGTCATGAAAAACACTCAAACATCAATTCCTTACGATTGTATAAATTATATAATCAACACTTATAGAGTGATGTAAAGCGGCATAGAGCAAAGTTGTATCTCATTTGTTTTTCCGAGACACTTGTTTATTACAGTTGAACTGAAATCTCAACGTTGATAATGATTGTTTTTCCTCATAGAACAAGATCAGTTCGATAAAATACTTCAAAGATATGTACTCATCTACCGACAAAAACAAAATCACCTGTTTTGTTGCCTCGATACTCTAAATTCTAATAAGGAGGAGAATCATCACTGATAGGTTATTTTGCTTTCCATTTAGTATGAAAATGAATGTGCAATTCAGATTTTCCATTTTAATACCAATAACTATGTTACCTGGTATTCTGATGTTTCCACTAAAAAAAACGGAATCGCTGTTACTTTTCTGCAACGATTGCCTTCAGACACGAAAAAAACTCACTATGGTCATTATGCTTGTACTCAAATTTTATATTTCTGTGGTTTCTGTCCAGGCTTTTCTAAACTCCTATTCAATTGAATTTATTCACTGTTTCTCCTATATCGAGAGGATTCTGAATCTGAAGTTGAATAAAAATTTCAAGTTTGATTCAGGATTCAACAAGAATTCCGTGGCAGAAGTCAGAATTCAACAAAATTAGTACCGGAAAGTCTCGACTCCAAACTCGAAATAATGTTGAATTCTGACTTCCAATTTGGAAATTGAGGAAATTCCGACTTTGAACTCGAAAATTTGTCAAAATCCGATTTTTTCTGAATTGCGGGTTTGGAATCTTGGATTTTATTTTCGAGAAAACTTCATCTACATACTACACATTCTACATTCTACATACTACATTCAATATTACTAAATTTTGTGTATAATATCTATGAACAACTACGGAAGAGTAGAAGGGCCAGGGATTATTTATTCATTCACCATAATTTCGACTTAAAAGTCGAAATTTGGACTTTTATCTCGTAATTTCGACTTAAAGTGAGTTTTATCTCGTAATTTCGACTTTCATCTCGTGATTTCGACTTTCATCTCGCAATTTCGACTTTCATTTTGAAATTTCGATTTTCATCTGGAAATTTTGAGTCAAAAGTAGAAATATGGTTCCTTGAGTGCATTATAATTTACTACGAGGTGATGTTAACAGAAAGTTCGTGAGATTGTTGTGTGATTGAAATTTCGATGGAAATATGTGGTTGAGAGTGGGATCAACCTCAAGTGACCCTAAGGTTAGGAATAATCATTAACTCTGAATCAATCAATAATTTCAACAATAATCCTTTTGAACTGATGTTGAAACAAGAACAAATATTTCAGTTTAATGTACATTTTTGAAGATGCTCCTGTCAATGATATTTCATTAAATTTTACCACACTATTTATTATTTCTCATCTTCACACTCGAAAAAATTTGTAATTTTGAAATTATCATCGTCACATTCGTCATGATCAAAACAATAGAATTGAATAATAGAAATTGATTTCTCTCTGATGTTCGTTTAGCTGCCGATTCCAATTTTTCCACATGAATTCAAATTTTCCCCGGTAATTGGAGGATATTTCTTGAAAGGAGGATGTCCCAGAACTTTACGAATCGATCTGGGCACTGAAAATGAAGTAATGGAGAGGATACAAAAAGCCTTTCATGAAGTATTTACTGAATCAACTAATCGACCATGTTTTTTTGTATGGAAAAAGCATACACGATCAAAGGATATAATATTGGTGGTCTTCATCACATAAACATAATGCACAATACTGGATGAATTTATTTCAAACTCTAATAGAAGACAATTTATTCGATGCATCATTTTCGCACAAGTCACTGGTTCAATTTTGTTTCATACCATTAGTACAAGTAAGAGATAAGTTGTTGTTGATGAAATTTCAATTATAATTTTTATTTCAGAGTGATCTTGATCAAGTATGTTTTGAATGGAGTATTCATATAATACGGAAAACAAGAAATGCTATTGCTCCAGCAGGGAGACCAAGTATATTGTATGCGATGCCTTCCCTTTATGGAGTTACAGATCACCTCATCAAGATTGCATCATTCGCTTTTAAACATTTTTCGTCGAAGTGTACATATCCCCGTACAGCCTGTGATGAATATTTTTGGAAATTATGTTCAATTTTTATGAAAAAAATAATTACACAAGGTCCCTAGATCCTTATGCCACAATTAATTTATACATTAATCTGAGAAGTGAATTAATTATGTTATGTCAATAAATTTTAGATTTATATGCATTGATATTATTCAGTACCTTTTTGAAAAGGTAAATGCTTTTCGCACGAGTAGGGCAAAGTCGACTTTGGCCAAAAACATATTAGTTTCTCATCATAGTGAATCAATCTGATCAGTTATATCCTTACTTCATTATCAAAACTTGAAAATTCAGTTTTTCACTACAACTGAAGAAATTTCTAGAAAAATTTATAACCATTTTGAAATAATACTCTACACATTCATATCTTAAACGTCATGTTGTCGAAATTACGAGATAAAAGTCGAAATTTCGAAATAAAAGTCGAAATTATGAGATGAAAGTAGAAATTTCGACTTTTAAGTCGAAATTATGGTGGATCAAATAAACAAATAATCTTTGGCCCTTCTATGCTTCCATAAACAACAAATCTGTTCGACAGACAATCGCAAATATGGCCACTATAATGACGACTTCTTCGTCAGAACTGCTGGTGATAGATATGTTTCTGTCACCGCTTGATGTCATCTAATATTCCCTTGGAATCGAACAAACAGCACCTTCAGTATGCTGATTGTAGCTGGACAAGTGGGCGACAGACATTTGAATTCAGCAATGCATTCATGGATTTGTCGAGTACTGATGGAACATTTAGCGAAACGGTTCGATGAAAATCTCACAATAAAATGTTACTTTGATCTTACTCAGTTTACTGAGGTGGGTGTAGAAAGAAATATCTGTGAATGTTTATAGTTCAATAATTATTTGCCTAACTTAGTATTTTCTTATGAATGATCACATGAATAGGGTTAATAACTTTTTGGAAATTTCAAAAATTATGTGGAAGAATATATAACATTCCAAAAATTCAACAAGATAATCGAACGAAAACATCAAACAGATTTTTTCTTGAAAATTTCAGATAGAATATGTTGGTTCGAATCAACAGCCTCACTGTTTTTCCTATGAATCGAAATTTCAAACAAAGTCAATGATTCTAGTTATCAACTTTGAGCGTCTTGGTCATAACAAGGCTGTTCTACGAAATGATTAGTAATTATGTTTATATTTCAATTGCTGCTTACTAGTTGCCATAAGTTTAGCCTTCATTTGGATTTACAGCACTCGCCCTTCAACTTCTCAACAATGTAATGATGATATAATTTTATCTGAGATGGCAAGTGATTTTTGTTAATTAAAAAGTAATTCATCCCTATGAGAAGAAAACTGCGACGAGGAATATACGTAATAATGAGTATTCAAAGAATGTAGAAAAGGAGGAAATGTTGAAAAGGAGGATGATGTTCACATTCTTCGACAGTGAATGAGTAAATAGTGTGATCCACCAAATGGTGCAAATTTACATTCCAAAAAAGTTCTTTTGGACAATGTGGTAATCGTGCTTGGGGAAATTGAACGAATTCTTTTATTGTCAATAGAAGTTGGATATTTGAAAATGAAGAAAAGCCAGCATAGCTTCTGAATGGTGAAAAATTGGAGTTTTGAAGAAAAATAAAATAGTCCGAAATTGAAATATCGTCCAGCCACCTATTGACTGGAACATTCGAAAAATTCTGATACAGAAAAATTCTGATAGTGTGGTCGGTTTTTTTAATACTCTAGTGAAATAAAAACAGATAGTGAAAATTTCACCTGATATAGAGCAAGTTGAAAACTCATTGTGGAAATTATTAGCAGTTTTCAGAAAAATTCAACCCATTTCATGAATAAACTTCAAAGTTCCACACTGAGTGATGGTTATATTCTGGTGAGCTTCGATGTTGAAAGACTTTTTACAAATCTACCTATTGGAAGAACTCTTCAAATTGTAAGATCTAGGTTGGTTGGTTGGAAAATGATTCAACTGAAATACACCGAAAGAAGATGAGTGTCAGTTCTATATTGGACCTTTGAAGGTTAGGCTAGGCAAACACTACTTTTAATCTGGAAACGACTTTCATCAACAAGAATTTAGCATGGCTCTAAGTTCCCGACTATCTCTCATCTCAAGAGTCTTTTGTTGAGACTTACCATGGTGATCTTAATGCTTTCAAAACTATATCAACGATATCAAAATAGAAATAAAACAAGATTGTCAACTTTCTTTCCTGGATGTTATGTTGGAGTTATCGTCAGATCAATTTGATACAAATGTTTATCGAAAGAAAACACAGATTCTTCCAGTGCACATCAAATAATGATGGGGGTGTTGAAGAAATCATAATGAATTGTCTTTTTAACAGAGCAAAAACGATTTGGAATTCAACTGAAAATTCCATAAAAAAGTATCATCGATAAAATCTGTTCTGAGAGAGAATGCTTGTTCACACTCGTTCATAGATTTAACGATGAATACAATAGAAGGCCAAGAGTCGAATAAAAACCAAATGACATTACAAACAGCATTACAAATTCAACAACTACTAACATCTTTCACAACTTACGTTATACCTTACATTCCAGGACTATCTGAGGAGATAACACGAATTGGAAAAAGATATAATGATATAAATTTTCACAAGACAGCCAATATACTGACATCTATACTCACACATACAAAATCTAATAACGTAGAAAAAAAAAACAAAAATTTGCATCAGAGAGTCATCTTTCACAACTTACGTTATACCTTACATTCTAGGACTATCTGAAGAGATAAGTCGAATTGGAAAAAGATATAATGCTAGAAATTTTCACAAGACAGCCAATATACTGACATCTATACTCACACATACAAAATCTAATAACGTAGAAAAAAAAAACAAAAATTTGCATCAGAGAGATACCTTGTTTTCGTGGTAGAAGTTATATTGGTGAAACTTCGAGACCATTGAAAGAGCGTGAGAATAAACATCGAGATTATATTAGAAATAGACATTTATCAGTATCAGACGATAAATATCGGTTGGACGGAACAAGATGAGAATTATTGCCAATATCTGTGTAATTCGAACAGCTCCTTAGAAATGGATCGTACTTGGTTACCGTTTTGGAAAAAATATGCATAGTAACGAAATAGCAACAGACTGATATCAGAGAACATCGACTGTTCTAGAAGTCAATCAACAATATTGAATTATTTCACATCTCAAAACTCCCTTGACATCTGGCAAGGTACCTACTTGAGAAATAAAAAGAATTAGCGAAAGAAAAAATGCGTTTGAACTTGAATTTTTTCCAATTCTGAAGACGCAGGCAGATTTTAACCCCGAAACGTTGAGATACATATTGTGTGATTTCTTAGGTATTTTTTTTGATAGGCGAAATTATTGAATACTACAAGTCCTATGAAAAAAATTATTTGAATTTACGCAGTTATTTATCGGAGTGACTTGAAAAGTTTGCCCTTCCTATACGTGTATGAATGACTTCATTACAATTTCCAAATTTGTCAGATTGCGGAATGTGAAAACCTGAAGATTGTCGTTAAAAACAAAACTTCATTTTATCTCATTTTCCGGTATTTCTGTACCTACCTACCTCCCGGGAGGTAGGTAGGTACGTTGTTTTTGTTCACTTTGTCAATAACGAATATCAGAATGACATCAAAAGATAAAGTCTGGACCACGAGTACAACTTCACAATGAACTAACTTTAAATATTAGCACAGTAACCAAACTACCGACATTGAAATAGCTCACAAACAGTTTCTCGGAATATTTGAATTGCCAATTTTCAATGATTCCACTGTTAAAATAATCAAACAAAGGAACGTTGAGTAGGAACAAATACTATATTTTCATTATATATTCAGAGAAATACCGTTCACGACGGAAAAACCAACTGGCAAAAGTTCAAGCTTAGTTCATTCAAAATTATACTGAAAAAAATTACATTCAATTCCGGCAGTTGAATTTTCTGTTGAATTTGTGTTGAGATGAATTGAAATCTGTTCAGAATGAAAGGAGAATTATAGAACAAACAATATGATGTTGGACGAATATTTTCAGATCAATGAATAGGAATTGGGAAAACCAATACTTCGATTTGAAACTGAATCCTAAATAATGAGATCGATTTGTGGTTTATCAATAATAACTTACTTTTTAGATGAATTGAGAGAATGGTCCATTGGGAGCCAAAAAAAGAAGAACTTGCCAATTAGAGTTGGAAATGCGTACAACAATAAAACAGTTCCTTATTAACCTACTACCTAGAGTAGTACTACCTACTTGTCTTCAAAAAATATTTTTCATTTCGTCATCTGGAATATAACTTAACAAACTTTTTTGATATCCCACTCTTGAGCAAGTTATGTGTAGTTTACCTTGACAAAAGCAGTATTCATTGGGATTGAACAAATATTCCAGAACATTCTGGAATGTTGCCGAAGGTTAGTGTTAACTACTAATCATACCTATACCTACGAACTTCTAGAATGTCCTCATGTCATATGTACCGCAAGTCCATGTTTAATATTTAGAGATTCATTTGATACTTTTTGAAAATGTATGATTTCTACAGGCCTGGAGTAAAAAATAAGTTTCAGTCTCATGTCAGTTGTAGTGGTGTAAACTGAAAACAATTTTTTATTAGTCAGTGGGCTATGCTTGAAGATTGGCAGTAACGAACTTTAAAACATTCAAGCAAGTCTCGAATATACCTACACAGTAGGTTGAATGGACTGACGCTTATCAGAAAACAACTACTCCGCTGGCTAATATCACAAAGGGCGTTGGATTATATCAGACAGGCGTCAGTGCAGTAGACTTCACAGAAAATTTCCTGCATATGCAATTGGCAATACAATTGAAAGAGTCGACTTTCAATTTTGGAACGGGCACACCTGCAGACCGGTTTCGGGCTCATTAGCCACTCATCAGTGCAAGATCAGAATTTTTTCAGAGTATTTCATTCCTCTTTCTAAGTTGGAGCGAACAACAAAATGTCACTCCATCTAGTGGACGAGGTACTAACCAACTGCATATCCGTAATTTTCCCGATTCCTCTGAATAAGGAAGACAAACTTTCTTATTAGTCAGTGGGCTATGCTCAAAGACTGGCAGTAAACATACAA